AAGCGAGTTCAGGGAGAGCTAGAACTGTGTGTTTAGTTGCTACAACAGACACTCTAAGCGGTGACTCTTGTGAAATAAGCGAGTTCATGGAGAGCCACTGTGTAGTTGTACTCCCATCGAGGTCCTCTCAGTATACCGCCCCTCAGCTCGTCCTGCCAATCGCCGTTCAGTATGTAGATGTCACGTGACTCCGCCCCCTGCTCCAACACCGGGGCCACGAGAAGGTCGTTGCCGAGGAGAAATTGCGTTTCAAGGGTCAAGGCCGTCGAGTCTGTGGGGTCAGTCCACCACAGCGGACGTACGATAGGATGACCAGTGACCACCGCTTCTTTACTCAAGTTGACAATGAGGTCGGAGAAATTTTGGTGAAGCTGTACGTATTTACGTGTGATGTTGACCACCTCTTCGTCGTAGTCCCACGGCCCGACCGAAAACTGCAACACCGGCAAAAATGTGGTAGCTTCCATCCAGCGGATGTAGAGCTCTCTTTCTGGCAGCACTGTGTGGTCAAGCGCTATTGTGTCCATAGCGTTCCCGCCTATGAGATCGGGAAGAACAAACGGGTAGCCCATGATCCCGAAGGCTAGGGCGCAGGGGATGACGGTCTTGAGACCCCTCTGGTGGCTCCAGTTACTGGCCCTGTCCAACATGCGCACCATCATAGAAGTGTTCTGACTACGGTAGCCTGCTCGCACTTCCTGTCGTCTCTCTTTCAAATCGGCGCGATAAGCCATCTCCACGTATTTCTTCGAGTACATGTTCGGGTTGGGCAAATCTACATGTGAGGTAAATTTTTTCGGCAACCAATTTGTTTCCCCTGCATCGAATTTAAATGAAATGACACTGTAGTTTGTTTTGATGTACTCAAGTTTATTCAAGTACCACGTGACCGCGTCAGGGTTGGTGACGTCAATGACCCCAGCGTGATTTCCGCGCCACCATTCAGTAAGAGCTGGCTCCGCGGAGTGGAGGTCTTTCAGTAGATAGTTCTTCTTTGACAGCTCTTGAAAGGCTTGGGAGTCGTTGTTAAAGAATGGATGAACCCACACCGTGATAGGAAACCCTTCGCTTGTGAGATTCTGAATCAGTTCACTAGCGTCAGGGAATTTGTCGGTGGTGAAAACCAGATCTCCGTACTTCGGAGTCCACTCGTCGTCAATTTCCAGTTGTGAGGCGGGGAAATTGTTCTCTCTGATGAGGTTGGCGTATTCAAGAGTCGTGGTTTGGTTGATGGCTCCCTTGTACTTGGCCCACGTGCACCAGATCGGGCTGTGCAGAACATCCTCGGACACTCCGGCCGTGGGTTTTGCGATGAACTGTTCCGCCATAGCTTTCCACAAACTGGCGATGTTGCTGGATTTACAGATATGGTAGCGCAGAGAGGCACTTTGAGAGCCGTGGTAGTAGGGCGTGTTTGCTCCCGTTCTTCCGACCAGACACAGCTGTTTGGATTTGGCCTCGTTGATGGACAAGTAAAGGGGCGTGGCTTCGTCTACGTGGATACCTACGCCAGCAGAGGACAGGAAGATTGGCTCGATAACGTCACCGTACTCTCCCATGTCCTGAGAAAGAGTAACCCAAAGAAAACGTTAGATCATTTTAGTCTCCAACAATATTTGAGATTTACAGATATGGTAGCGTAAAGAAGCACTTTGGGGGCAGGGGTAGTAGGGCGATGACGGTCTTGAGCCCCCACTGCCTTGTAGGTTGTCAGTGGATGACACAAACCGGCAGTAGGCAACGGGAAACCACTGCTGTAATATCCCCCAAAAAAATAGAAGCAACAGAAATTTTGTTTTTTAGGAGACTGCTGATAATATCGTGGAAGGAAAAGAAATCAAATGAGGTAGTGCTTGATGAAGCCCGCGTGGGACGCTCACTGTTAAAAACAACCTGGGAACAACAGATGCAGTTTTCGGGACACCTGAATAGACATAAAGGTCTTGAACAACTTACTCTCACTGGCAAAATTGAAGGCAAACGAGGCAGCCGTAGGCCCAGAGCAATCTACCTAG